TGGATGCACAACAGAAGACTCTGGCAGAAGTCCAAACCAAGGAAGTTTCTGCCCTTCCTTGATGAGGGGAAAAAATAGAAACAACTGACAGTTTCATGAAAGAATCACTAGGAAAGACAAGAAAGACAAAACAGACCTGGGTTGCCCAAGACAGTCTAGAACTGTGCAACCAAAAAGGAAGCTACAGCTTAGACATCAGATGGAAGAACCAGAGGCAGCAGATTACAGAAGAAATAAAAAGGCCTTGAGAAGAGAAAACAGATAAACAATGACAGTGTTTTACAAGAACGTAGCACTTGAAGGTCATACAGACCGTCCAGAAAGTCATCAAAAAGTAATACAACAATGTCAGGGACAGATACTTGGAACTTTCAAACAAAGCTTTTGCAGAAAGACACTGTAAACACCCAAGGACTTTTACCAAGGTTATACAAATTTTCCTACATCCAGCTAAAGCTCTTTCTTTTAATACCACCACCAGCCTAGTGCATGAATAAGGGCCAGAAGGAGATTTGCACGTGCTCAGGGAACTGAAGCAATAACCTGAAGGAATTACATCACACTTTCACGCATCTCTGTAGAGCACGGCAGGTACAACAAGCGCAGTGTATTGTGCCAAACGCAACACCCTCAGCACCGGGGTTACAGTAGTCACTGCAGTCCTCTATTACAATACCCAGGGCTCATTCCCCAGCGGCAGGAAACTGCTAACCTGGCCCATGCAACAGCTAGGAACGTCAGCATCTGGAAGTAGGACAGTCAGTAACCTCCACCTTGGAGTCATCCCACCTTCATAGCTAGCAAAGGGCTGAGTGTAGCAGAACAACAGCAAAGCTGGCCAGTGCTGCATACTGCAAAGGTCAGTGCAAGCAAGGACATGGCAACTGTGGTATCAAGCCACATTTATATCAAAGGAAGGAAACACCAATGAGAGGTCTGGTTAGGAGACTGTGGAGTTATAATCTTAAATCTTAAAATAGAAACAGAAAAGTGGAATCACTCCCATGATGACAAATCTCACAGTTTGCCAGAATCTGGAAAGATAAGAGCATCTCAAGCACATCCAAGCAGGACTTCTGGATATGGTTGTGTTCTCAGTAGTCCTCTATCAACACAACTGCTGCAGAATAAGGAATTCATATCTTTGAATTCAGATGTCTCTGAAGGATTACACAGATATCAAAAACAGTGAATAGGACTACCAGTGCCATTAGAGAAAAAGCTGAAGTAATTGGGTCCCGTGAGCCTATGTAAGCAGTAAGAAGATGGAAATTGGGGTGGTTTGTCCATGTGACCAGAACAACAGGACTAGCAAACACAATTCTGCAGGGAAATATCAAAGAGGAAAGGAAGGCAGAATGCCCAGGGGCAGTGTGACTCAAAAACATCAGCATCTGGATGGAGAAATGATGGGGAGATCTAAAGAGTAAAGGAAATATGAAGACAGATTCCAGTCAGTGCCTAAAGATGACACTCTTCAGAGCATGTTGGTGTAGTAAAGGGAAAGGTGAGACAATCATAAATACTTATAGTAGTTCATAACCTGGCCATGTCCTGTTCACTTATTGAGTTGCACAAAGGACACAAAACAGAGTATGATCAACAGTGAACCACTAATTCATGTTATTAATGCTTCCATCGCCCATAAAATTTTTTTCAATTAATTCTGATATCTTTGTTTCACACTGCTCAAATTGCCCATTGATCTACACATTTCCCCTTTTATTTCCTGAAGGTGACTTTTTTTCTGTGGGCTTCTAAATATTAGGTAAAACTCAATATGCTGTGGCAATATGTTTGGCTCACAGAACCCAGCCTATTTTTGCTGTTGCTTTTGATCATATTCTTGACATCCTGACACTGTTCTGGTGAGATGTAGAGATTTTCTTCCTCTTCAGGTGCCCTGGGTGTATTTTTATGAGCCCGAGAAAGGTGAATTTTGTCTCTGCAGTTTTCAGCAGGATTACAGCAGTCTGGCAGAAAAGTGTCTGCTTGTAGCTTTTGCAAAAGTCATGAGTTCCTATAAATGGCAACATCATGATCCCTCTCTGAGCAGCAGTGCTCGTGTCAGTGAAATGTCCCCAGCTACCCACAGCACATCCACAGCCAGACAAAACCACCTCTTCCTGACTGTCCTCTCAGAGCAGGGTGCCTTGAGGGCAGTAATGGCACTGGGGGAGAGATACGTTGTCCCCAACAGTCAGCAGAGCCCTTTCAGCTGTACAAACTTGCTATTTTCTGCATCTTTCCAAGAATCAGAAACATGCAGCAGGACCCACTTAATGGTCTCCACAAGCGAATGACAACCATTCCCACAAGAGTTGTTCCTATACTGAACCCATCATCTGCCGCCCGACAGCAAAGTGGTCAGGAAGCACCACTTATCAGTGATGCCTGCTAGTGGTCAGCAGGTGTCTAGATAAAAACAGGTTAAGGAAAAAGCGTTACAGTTTTTCCCAAGGAAAACCTTTTGCACAGGAGATTGCAAGGCTTTCCCCATGGGTGCTGTGCTGGGAACAGGTCCCAGTGGCTGCGGTAGCCCTGCGCAGGTTGCTTGACACCGTCACTGTTCAGAATAAATTTTGGGCAGAGTATTGGTCCTGATGGTGCTAGTATCTTCAGTAATGATCCATCTAAAGCAAAGTTTTTCTATTCTTATTTGTTTACAGGCCACCCAAAAATGTCCCAGCAGAGCTGTGGGTCTCTCTATGATGAATTCCAGCCTGCTGACAGATACACTTGATTTTGTTACCTTCTGTGACCTCTCAGAGCAGACCAGGGACAGTCCAGTTTCTATATACGACCTGCTGAAAACTCCCGTCCTTAAGCTCCAGCAGCTTTTGTACCTATAGCTTTAGCTATATAATTCCTGGTGATTTGTGGTGTTTTATGCTATGTAACTATATATGGGAGGAGGAGGAGTTGTATGGTGACAAGTATGTGGATACTCCTGACACTGAAGGGCTCGAACTAATATTCTTTTGTCTAAAATTCAAGCTCCCAAGTGGCAGAGCTTCCTGGCACAGAAACAATCATTAATCCCAATCCAAGCGGTCTGCTCATGTCTGTAAACATGTACAGGTGCAGCCTGCTCTCCTACGTACACCTGCAACTCGGGATGCCAAAGTGAACATGTGGTTCTTAACAGAAAAAAAAGTCCTTAAAACCGTCATCCGCACAAAGGGCTTTATTTAATTGCTGGAGATTTGAGTGAGTTCAGACTCTTGGGTTTTGGTTAATTCTCTGGAACAGCACTGGGTTTTGTCTTTATTTTTGTTTCCTGTGTCAGAGCTGTGAAGCAGGTGGATTGCAAACTATAGAAATAGTTCATGGTAGATGTTTAATGAAAATCCCTGACTGAAACATGATTCTTATTAAGGAAAAAGAAAAAACTTGCTGAATATTTATTTTTCCAGTTGTAGGAGAAAAGTGAGGGAAAGGGATTGTTTTGCTCAAAGTATGTTTTAAACTCCACATTGCAGTCTGGTATCAGTGCGCACACTGAGGTTGATCTGTTCGTGCTGATCCAACACAAACTGATGTTAGGAATGACTTCTGAGAATTACATGGCCTTTGCCTCTTTAAAAAAAGCCTACATTGGTGTATTCAGCCCAAAATAGCAACCTGCAGGGCCTGGGCTAGGACAAAGGGAGAATTAAAAGGAGCAAATGCCTTGTTTGGGGAATGAACTGCGAAGCTGAACAAGAGACAAGCTTGAGCATTTCCTTCCAATGGGATTCTCTGCTGGCTGGAGAACAAGAGCCAGTGCATGGAGCTGGGGGAGAGGAGAGCCAGACGGATGTCTCCCTCCGGCAGCTGCTGGAGGCCCTGCTTTGTAAGGGAACTAATAACCAGGCAGGCAGGGCAAGGAGCTGGAGATGTTTCACAGGGCCGTGAATCATGGCAGACCGAGGAAGCTGAATCATGATAGCTGAGCTTTGTGTCCGCAGCTCTGAACTGTGGCCTAGAAAACAGAGTGAAGGAAGATGCAGAGTGGCTGCGGGCACCGCTATGTGGGTTTGAGCTGGTACTGCTCCCCGAGGACTCCCGGCATGCTCCTGTGGCAGGAACAATGCAGCTCTGGGGCTCCAGTTCTCCACCACCAGTAAGAGGCATTTTTGAGAAACCAACACAGATTTCCTTAAACTTGTCAGTCTCTCTTTGTGATAGTGTGTTGTGTACATACGTGCACAGACAATTTGTGAGACTATAAAGCAGAAGCAAAGATGGAGACCTCTCTCCTGCAGATCCATCTCTTTCTCCCTCTGCCTTGCATTATCGGTCAATGTGAAATTTTCTCCACCAGCCAGTGAATTTTTTCTAGCTTAGCAGCCAAAAGCTCTAAAATAACGTGAGATTTGGACTACACAATGTCATAGCATGCTGTTATAAAGGAGGTCATCTTGAAGAACTCTGCAATGTGGTGTAGATTGTATTTTGCCACTTAAAGGAAAGTGCTGTTGCTGTATAACACAATGGGAGGGAGAAGACAGGGGAGACACAAATAGGCTGTGCTCACACTGCCTGCGTGACCCAGGTCAGAGCCCACACACATAGTAATGAAATAGTAATTCCTATTTTTTTTACTTCAAAGTGCTTTGTCCATCCAGACCACACCAGATTCCAGCACGGAGACTCACAAGGTCAGCCCCATACATATTGCGGATCTGCACATCCTTAGAGACAGATGGGCTTGTAACGAACCCTTTGGCTGTGACCTGGGGTTTTTTTCTTCCCATTGTTTCTATTACTGTCACAACACTGATATCTTGAGCTAACCATTCAGAAGGCCTGGCTGAGACATTTCTTCTCTAGTGTTTCCCTGAAGAATCTCATTGTGTTTGGCCATCTGAAGCCAGTTCTTTATGCTTCATCATATTAGTCCATGCAAATACTGGACAATCACAGAATACAAGATGTGTGAGCCAAACCCACCAGCCTTTTTTTACCATACAGCTCAAAGAAAACAGTTGCTGACTGTCTTTTTTGTTTTTCATCAGTCCTGTACCTGGAAGGATCTGTCCTTGTATTTGAAGATGTCTTCAAACTGGTTGCCTTCTACTGCGTCAGTAGGTGAGTTGGATTCATTGCTTCCATGGAGGGGAAGCAATGCTTTGCTTTCATAGAATCATGGAATCATACAATAGTTTGTGTTGGAAGGGACCTCTAAAGGTCATCTAGTTTAACCCCCCTGCAGTGGGCAGGGACATCTTCAACTAGATCAGGTTGCTCACAGCCCCGTCCAACCTGACCTTGAATGTTTCCAGGGATGGGGCATCTACCACCTCTCTGGGCAACCTGTGCCAGTGCTTCACCACCCTCAGCGTAAAAAATTTCTTCCTTATATCTAGTCTGTATCTACCCCCCTTTAGTTTAAAGCAATTCCCCCTTGTCTTGTTGCAGCAGGCCCCCTCTGGACTGCCTTTCCCCAGTATCCAGTCACTGCACAGCCCCAGCTGTTGCCTCCAGTTTCCTCTATCCTGCCAGACCAGGAGGTATTTCAGATGCTAGTATCTATGATGGGGCCAGATCACCCAGTTTCTAGCCAGGCACACCATAACCACAGCTGTCCCTGAAGCTGGAAGCTTTGTCTGAGGAAGGGCTGTAGGGCTGCACCCACGAAGGACCGAGGCACAGGACTGGGGCTAGCAGGGCAGGGAGGAAAAAGGTTCCTGGATTAACCATCTCTTATCAAAAGCAGCTTTAAGGATCCACGCACACCTGGCAGTGACTTAGCAAACCTGCTAGCAGAGCTGTCTGCGGGAGACTCAGAGTACTTAGTCACCTACAGGGAATCTGTGAAGGAGAGTAGTCCTGAAACAATTTCTGTTCTTTAGCCAAAATTTAAAAATAAAATAAAGCGAAAAAGAACAGACCTTGGTTGTTTGCTCAGCACAGAAATACCAAATGCAGTGGACACAGAGATGGGAAAGACCTGTAAGGTCATTTTCATTAGAGCAAGGTTTGATCAGCAGCTGATGAGTCCCTCTGTGTAATTAAACCTGTGTGTCTGCAGTCTCCTCTAATCTGTGTGTTTATGCTAAACACACTGCAGCGATACCTCCACAACCTACTTAACCCATTCCTGCTGCAGCAGGCCTGGTTTTGAGTTGGATGTAAACTTTTGACCTCCCCTATATAAACTTAGATGACTCTTAAAGTAGTTATTTCCATTTAAGAGGGGAAAGCAGATTCAGGATATGTTTACAAGGCAGTCGTGTTAGTGACTTGGTTAGGTCACAGAATAGGAGCGGTCTATCTATGGTATGATACAGCGTACTGCAGCTTACCAGGCCAGTAAGACTCGCGCTATTTTGGGGGCTGTTTCTGCAGCCAGCTGAGTTCAAAAGATTTCTGTCTTACCAAAGGAGCAAAGAATAGCCCAAATGCAAACAAGAATTGGGCATTTCTAGTCAAATGGCTGGTGGGAGGGAAAATCTGCTTGCTTCTGCTTTCCTGCAGAAAGGATCATGGCTTAAGAGAAAGAAAGAAAAGCTTTTCTGTTAGTTCCTGTTATAGATGTTACTTCTGAGTGTCAAATAGACATTCAGATGGTTCGTGTGATTTCTCAGGTCACTGTCAAAAGACAAGGTAAATAGGGAATAATTTTCTGAGAAGCAGGTAATGAAAAGATTGCTTGGGCGCTGACCTACCATTTGCTGGCAGCTTGCAGGAGCTCTCCGTGATGGTGAGTGGAGAGGCCTGTTCTCAGGGATGTAGTAAACAGTCATCTATAAATAGCTGGAAACAGCTTATCAGGGCTGACAGGCTCTTCTCAAAAGAAAGTTTGGCCTGGCTAGATTACCTTAGATCACAAAAATAACACCTGTAGGTAACAGGTGACAGTGGCTTCTCTGTAAGCTGCTGCCCCATGAATAAAACCAGATTGTTTTCTATTAGGGTAATGTCTTCATGTTTCCTGATTTTTAGATGTATTTTTCTACCAAAAAAAAAAAAAAATAGAAGGGAACTACTCATGCATATGACAATAACAAACAAAGAAAGCAGAAGGTCCATGGACCCTCTTCCTCTTTTAAACCTGATATCTGCCATGAAAAAAAATAATCCTGGGATCACATCAGTTTATGTCAAACAATGTGACAACAGAGTGCTCAGCGGTGCACAGAGAACCGATGGAGTACACAATACATCAGTAAGATATGTATCTGTTAATAAGGGCAAAAATAGCCCCCCTGCATTCATCTGTCAACAGATCGGTCCTCCCCAGGTCTGCAGTCACACGCATTTTTGGGGTGTGCGTTTGGTAGCAGAGACCACCTACTCACAAGGGCAGCTTTTTCTAAAATAATTTCCTGCAGCTTGCAGAACATTTTGTTAAATTTTTAATGTGTAAAATGACCCTGCACCATTCCTTGCTACCTTTTAGGGACTATTATTACTGGCTTTTCTAGTCCTTGTTAGAATGGGAATTGAGGTAGGAATAGGTTTAGCAAATTGTCATTGGGGTAAGAGGGAAACCTGAACAGTTCACCGCGAGCCCAAGAGCTCCGTTAAATTATTTGAGATTTAGGGTGTGTTTCAGTGAAACCCAACTAACATCCTCTGAGAAAGTGCATCTTCTTTTCAGTAAAAATACAGCATCTTTCAAGAAACCAAGCAGTCAGAAGCCTGAGAGCAGAGAGTAGAGGGATATGTGTGTTTTCTCAGCGTCATGCAGTACTTCATCATTGTCGGTCACTTCACCCAGGGGCTTCCCTTCCCCAGGAGGGGTCTTCCTTCCCTAACCCCACTGTGACTTGCTGTGTCCCTGTGCCTTACACTTACACTGATTTTTAAAAGAGGAAGTAGGGTGGGGAGAGAGGGGTAAACAGAAAGAAAAAGGACTGCAAATCCCCTCCACACCAGAAAGAATGGCTTTTCTAATTACAATAATTACCATTTGCAACTTCTCACTTTTTATGGGAAGCTATTTCAACCCTTGTGGCCTCCCCTGAGATGAGAGGTGTTCCTGCTGTTTTCAGAGGAGGAAGCCAAGGCACAGTGATTAAGCCAGTGGCACGGCATGAAGCATCGCCACAGGAGCTGGTGATCTTTTGTGAAGTCAGAGCAACCCAGGCCGGCACAATGTCCATGATGTCTTACTGGCCGTAAGATCTTCCTTTGACAACGTCCAGGACTTTAGAGAACAGGGCTGAAATTGTGAACCAATTCAATCACTAAAACCAACGGTAAAATCTGGAGTTCCTAACAATTGTGGGGTTTATTCTTTTGTTGGTTTTTCACTGTGTTTCTTTTTACAGAGATTTGCTGCCCTTCACCCTGAAGCTGCCACAAGCAATATTAGAAGCCAGTAGCTTTCAAGACCTTGAAATTATATCTAGTCTGGGGATAGGTAAGTCCCTCAAAGCAGCCAGGGTTTCACTCAGACTTGTGAGAACCATGGTGTCTCACACAGACATAATGCAGCTGGTGGATAGATGAACTATTGTCTTCAGAATAGCTGAGGAGGCCTGAATGCAAGAGAGAAGATGTTTATGATCTTTATGTTTATAGAAGCACACTGAAAAAAAGGCCACTAGCCCCTTTGGACATAAACCTCCACTTGGACTTCTGTGCAAGTAGGGGACTGTAGAGACCTACAGTCTCACTGTATAAGCTGGGGCTTTCAACAACTGAAGCGCGGCACAGCCTCTCAGGATAGCTTACACACATTGGAAGTAGTTGGCATCTGAGGTATATGAAAAGAGGAAAACACTTTTGCAATTTCCCCTTCTGATGTGTGGGGGCAATGCTGATGGAAGTGTGATATTTTTTAATTTTGATATTTCTGCTTCCTTTTGCAGGATTTCTAGCTGGTGCAGAAATGTATAGTGTCCCAGCATGTTCTCCCGCTTCACACTAATGGGATACAAAAAGGAATGTTATTTTTAGTGACAGCACCAAATGAGCAAATTTAGATCAGATGTATAAAGTTACAGAGTTGGGAAATGCAGTTCTGTTAACTAAAGGAGGTCTCCTTCCTATTCCTTCCCATTTGACACACTCCCCTTGAGACAGCTATTACAGTTAGCCACTCTTATGCTACTTTGCTTTTCAGTTTTCCCTCAGCTGTTGAAAACAGCCAAACAATGGTGAAAGCTGAAGAGTTAGCTCACTTAGAGATACTCACTAGAGCACCCTGGGGCTTTTGGAATCTATTTTTGGATCTTCTGCATTATACCTCCCAGAAGGCATGGGCAAACCCCACTGGTTTCAGTTCAGGCAGCTTTGTTGAATTTGACCATCGGATTTGCCTCTAACACTTTCAGCATCCTCTATTTTGAATACGTGCCAATTTGTCAAAGCATCTTTGAGTATGGGTGTCCAGCTAGCTCTTATTGCTTAAAGAAAGCTCTATTGCAGGTTGAGATAGCAAGTTGTAAAGTTATTATTAATTTTATTATAACAAGTGTAAACATTTGGATTAAAATGTAAGAAGCGTATCATGATTCTCTAACCTTCTATCCAATTTGAGCCAGCAGAGGAGATCCTGACTCAGGCAACAGTCTCCAGCAACTTCTGAAAGGAAGGATTAACTAAAGCACAAGCACTAAAGCAATGTTGGTTGTAGTCTTCTTCCTTCTCTCCTGTACACTGGTGGTCATAAAACCTGCTGTTGTGTAAAGATTTCCTGGGAAATGATGCCAGCTTCTTGGAGTGCCATGCTGCCTCAGTGAAGTCAAACAGGCTGAAGTAATGAGTGATGCTGTTTACTGCTTCCTGGAACAAAATTCCGTGGGTACAAATGGGTACACAAACAATAAGTGCTGCCCGAAGTGGCACTCCCAAAGGAAAGCTAGCATCATTTGAAATTCTCGTATGTTGCTTTTTATTTATTTCAAAGAGAGATGTTTTTTGAGGGGGTAGAAGTAAGATGTCTATCTGCAAGCTGGATTGTTCCACAAAGGATCTGGCTGTTATGTATATTGTCAAAGAGGATGTACTGCAGGTCCTCTAGTCCTGACCTCACTGGTACAGAAGGCATTTTAGCAGGAGAATTAGTGTGATTGCACTGCACAAAGAGCACATGCCATCACAGACATGCCAAAGTCTCAAAGAACTGCTTAATTATCCCTCCCAGAGTGTAAGCTAAGGGAAGAGCCAGGACAGCAATGGGAGACGATCAAACTGCTTTTCCTGCTGTATGAGACAGTGTGGCTAGGCTGGGAAACACCGTCTCTGAAGCAGCTGGGTAACCCCGGGTAAGACCACCTCATCTGGTCCTTCACAGTCTGAGTGGAGTATTGCATTTTCATCACAGTGTCTTACCCTGACCACTACTGAGAAAAATAACCAACTTCCTTTTTGTAGATTGGTTTACTCACCATTTCCTCAGCCCATGAGGCTCCACAGCATTATATTCTGACTTAAACAAGCAACTTCCACTGTCTTGCATTTGCTGATACCTAGTAGAGTTGGAGCATTTAAAGGAAATCATACCCCAGACAGTCTCAGACGTGAGGGGGTTGGCAGCGTGATGCTGTTATGTGCGGTTGCATCTGCACGTCTACTCCTGAATTCTGTTGTCAAGAGTGCTGCTGTTCCTGGCAACACTTTAATTTTAAGCTTCTTTGTTCTCCTCCCTCTCATGGTAGGAAATCAGAGAATAAAGCTGTTCTAACCTCAGCCTCCATGGGAAAACATGGTGACATGCTTATGAAGTCGAATTAGCCATGGACACTAGCCTAGGCGGCAAGAGGCTAAATCAGCAATTTTATCCTGGTGGGAATGGACAGTCTTTGAGTTCACCTGCGCATGGCTTACTCTGTGCCTTACTCTATGCTTGGTTAGAGGGAGCGGAGGGGCAGCGAGGAGTCAGCCTGCCCGTCCTGCCCTGCCACAGCACTTGTACCTGCTGGAGGGAAGGGAACAGTCCCTGTCCCTGGAGCAGCTGGCTGTGCCCCAGGGGACCACATCGCTGGCAGAGGGAGGCAAGGCCAGCAGTGGGCTCAGGGCACCCAGGGGGAAAGGCAGAACCCTGCAGAGGGCAGGTCATGGTGGCGGCAGAAAGAAGATGGCCTTGCCAGCAACGGCATGGAGCTGGCTGCAAGCAGGAAGCCATCAAAAGTCACGGCTGCACCGGGGAGTAAAAAGGGAAGAAGTGGCCTGTCTTTGGGGATGCAGTGAGCAAGGGAGAGATTTTATCTGAATGTGTTTCACCCCTGAGTTCTGTGTTGGCTTTAGTCAAAGAGTTTCTTTGCTCTGAGTTCTGCTATGACCTTCCTAACTAGTAGTCCCTTTGAGCTTTTCTGGGATGCTGGTTTTTAGGAAGAGGCACAGGCAGACTTTGCCCAGGGCTCCGGCCAGCTCAGCCCTGCACCCCCTTCCCTGTGATGGGCTGGGGGCTACGCTGGTGCAGCTGACAGGAGAACAGGGCCCTGGCAAGGCACAGCTGAAGGCACCGTCCTGAGAGCTGTACCGCATGCTCAGCACTGAGGGTCATCCCACGCGTGTGCAGCCCCATCCATCCCCTCTTGGGCACAGCACATGATGTTTTTGCAGTGAGACAAGCTTGACACCAAGCACAGGGCAGGGTTCAGGTGATGTGTGGCAGCCCCATTTGCGTGCCCTGTAAGTCCACCCAAAAGAGTCTGCCATCAGTGTCAGCTCTGTGTCCAGGGACCAAGCATGCTGAAATAGTTTTAGTTATCTGCATCCTTGTGTTTCCAGGGTTTCCCATCTTCCCCTGGCCCCTAAATCTGTGGGCATCTATACAGGCCTCACCCAGTGAATACCCTCAGAGATTTATACCCTTTTCCTTGGCCAGAACACATGGGGTTTGCAGGATCCTGTTTCCTGATGCTTCCAGTAGTGGACCCTGGATTAGCAGCTCTAAGAGTGATTAAAAGCAATCAGACTGGTAAGGCAAGCAGGTTTGAAAACTCACCTCTGGGGGAAGGGAAAAAGGTTAAATGTAATACTGAATCTATTCAAAAGACATACAAATGCTTTGCAATTTTTTTAAAACAAGTTATTCAAAAGCAAATTCTAATAAGAGGTTTGTGACATACAGAAATGACTACTTGCATCTGAAACACCATCTTCCTTTTCCAGTCACAGTTGATGGCACTGAAATACTTAACTATCCTTTAGTCCTTCAGTATACAACCTTCCTGCGTACAGTCTTTTGCACCATCTTTCCTCTCTTACACCTGCAGGCAGGCAGTCTCAAGGCAAGGTGCAAAACAGAGAGTGGGCATGGCTACAAATAATTGTCATCCAGAGCTATAGATGTTAATGGTAATTTTAATCTGTGGAAGGTATTTAAAATCATATGTTTCCAGGCTGGTTGTACTGCAAAGCAGGATCAGACCTCTGTGTAGAACATGAGTTTGCTGCATAGTAGAGTCATCTTCATCTGATGTCTCTTGTGCTCCTGGTGCACATTGGATCCAGGCTGTATATCTCAGCCCTGCACCTTCCCACAGTCAGCAAGAGGGAGACAGAACTTGCCTGGGGTCTTCACACCCTCACCTCGGGTATCCACAGCTATTTGAATCTGGAGGGCAGTGATCGCTGAACAAGCCATAGACCCCTTTTCACAATCATTCATATTTATTACTTGTACCTTCCTGCTCACACTGCATAGGCTGCACAGCATTAACAGTTTTCACTAGATGAGTGTCCTAAAATTGGCAAGAAAGAGGTTTCTGGTGAAGCTTCTGAGCTCGTCCCCTGGTTTGAAGCATCTCATGCACATAAAACAGGCAACTCTCTCTTCACACTGCTTTGTGCAGAGGTGTGAAAGCTTGTGTATCATTTCTTTTAACAAAAAGTAGGACTTCTACATACCATTAGCAGCTAAAATTCTCTCAGAGCATTTTTTCATTCTTCTTTCTTTCTTTCTTTTTTTTTTGGACAGATTTCTGGAATTCCTCCTTAAACCACAGAAGAAGAGAAAAGGAGTTATCCAACCCTGCAAAAGACTCTGCTTTCAGCACTGCCCAGGCAGACAGTTTAAGATGTACCCAGTGTTTTGCAAGTAGCACAAACCACTGCTCATGTGAAATTGAGCTGTCAATAGGAAATGACAGGCTGTGGTTTGTGAATCCTATTTTTATAGAAGAGTGCAGTAATCCTTTTCCTCCAGATGTACCTCCTCCTAAAAGCCATGCTGTGAGCACCGATCTCCCCCCTGCCACCACGCTTACTGAAAGGAAGTCTCCCCGCCGCCCCCCTCCACCTCCACCTTCTCACACTCTCGTTCAGAAACCTTCTCTGAAGCTCCTGCAGGATCCCATGACTGCCTGTGAAGAAAACGAGCTGCTTCTTCAGCCACTAGGAAAGAGCATCAAGGAAATGAAAATTGAGGGCGGTGACAATAAAGAAGAAGAAAGGAAGCAGAGCTGCTTGGTCAACGAGCCCTCGGCAGTGAGTCCCAAGAAGGGCTGCCAGCCCTCTGTCCCCCCACGGAGGCGGCTGTGTGAGAGGACCTTGGAGGAGAGCTGTGTGGGTAAGCCTGGAAGTTGTGAAACGCTGAAAGGGGAACAGACAGAAGAAAAACAAAACACAAGTACAGAGAGCAGAGATAAAAGGTCGCTGTGCAAAAAGGCTGTAGAAATGCCTGGGGAGGTTCCCAAAAGGGCTGTATCACAGTTTCAGGAGACAAAGGCTGAACCTGCAGAGAAGAAGGAGGACATGCCTGAGATACAAAGCAATGCCATTGAGACACGAAAGTCACCTCCTATCCCACCACCGAGAAGGAAGAGGCTTTCCCAGGTACCAAGGATCCCCAGCTCCTGCCAGTCGAAACAAAGAACAGTGGCAGAGACGGCCGCGGCCACGGCGCAGGCTTTGTGCAAGAGCAGCTCAACTACAGTGGCAAGTGGTGCCACTTGCACAGATACCAAGACTGAACCGGGACATGGCCGCAAATCCATCACCTCAGCTGAACTGAAAGGTTCGCACTCCTCCCTGGAGGGCCCGGGAGCCAGCACCGTGGCTCAGGCATCAGCATCCGAGCCAGACTCCTACTCCACCAGCAGCACAGAGGATGACCTGGAGATGCTGAGTAGTTCATCCAGTAAAAAGACATGCTCCATGATCTTGGGCAAGGCCAAGAACAGGCTGTCCTTTGTAAGCCTGTCCAATGTCTTCACGGTCTTTTTGTCTAGTGACAGGAAGCTGCAGAAGAAGATAGTGGAGCTGGCACAGGACAAGGATTCATACTTTGGCAACCTCGTGCAGGATTACAGAGTGTATAGTTTAGAGATGATGGCAAAGCAGAGCTCCAGCACAGAGATGCTACAAGAAATCCGAATGATGATGACACAGCTGAAGAGTTACTTAGTGCAGAGCACCGAGTTGAAATCCCTGATAGACCCAGCCTCCTACACTGAGGAACAGTTGGGTAGGTGACTGTGCTTTACTCATCTTCGGGCAGAATTTGGGAAGGTGAGGAGGAAGACAGGATTATGCAGACACAGGTTCTGCTCTACAGAATTATAAACCATCTCCTAAAAGCTGAGGCGAATTGAAGTCTGCTCTGTGGTTGCCAGCACTTGGAGGAGCAGCTCTAAAAACTGGGATACCAATGAGGGGGGAAATGCCATTATGAATGTTTTAAAGGGAAGAGTTTAAGCAGAAGAAATGTGTGTTTGTGTGTGTGTGAGAGACATATATGTATGTATATATGCAAATGCATATACACACATACAAATATGAGTGTGTGTATATATGTGTATGCACAGGCACACACACACAGAGCTGTGTTCACTGGAAACACAAAAGGCCGACTTCCCCTTGCACAGCTGTGTTCCCCATGGCCTTCCACGTCCACTGCCCCATGCTCTGCAGTGAGGACGGAGAACTCCCTGCATGTGGCAGCCAGACCAGGGGTCAGTCACTGTCTCACAAGGAGGGACAAGACTGTGATGATTTTGAGTGGCAGGTTGGAGGAATCACTTGATCCCATTCTGTGCTCCTGAGACCTCAGAGGCCTGGAAGAGCTGCCTGCTGCAAGAGCACTGCTGGCTCCAAAATGCAGCATTCACCTCTCTTTGCCACAGACATAGTTTGCCTTTGGGGAGGAAAAATAATATTTTTGGCTGTTTAGGGGTGTTTTGTTGCTTCTCATTCAATATTCTGTGAGGGAGTAATGTGCTACTTCTCTCCTTGCTAAGAAATGGACTGGCTTGTTTAAGGTTCATTCATGAGGGAATATACAAAGAGCTGTAGGATTTTTTACACCAGTAAAAGCCATACAGCCAGAAAAAGCATGCATGCATGCACTCACACGCTTTTTTGACTTAAAACTGTTTCTTGAGGACCTGAGAACCAACGCAGAGCTATTTATGAGATCCCTAAGTTGGCTTAAAGCAAACTGGGAGCTGGAAGACCCCCAACACAGAACATGGCCAACCACAGAAGTGACCAGGGATTGCAGGGGATCCTGCAGCTCCAGTATTAGGTGGGACCCAGCTAAGTGGTGAGCCAGGACCCAGAGGCACTCAGCTGTCAGTCTCAGCAGGCCCTGCTGACTTCTTTCTCACCTAGCAAAGGCTTCACATGATCCTGCAGTTTCCCCAGCAGAACAGACCTGCTGCCAGCCCCTTGCCATAGCTAGGAGAGGGGAGCTACAGTTTCACTTCTCATGCACCTCATGTAACACCTACAATTTTTGTCCCAATAACCCCTTTCTTCGAGGCAGAGGGGGTGTCAGCACAGAGAAGTCTGTCTTGAATCTTGACTAGGGAAGGTGGAGAAGAGGCAGAAAGAAGTGTCCTTGTTCTGCTTGGTAGAGCTGCATGTGTGCAAGGATCCCCCCACATTCACACAGACACGCCTGGTTAAATCTAGCCCTGTTCACTGGCAGTTCCTTAACAGGATGATATGGCCCAGTCAGCCTAGGGAGGACTGTCTTCTCCTATGGAGGACAGGAATTCCCACTGTGGAAGATTTACCATTTGAATTTGTCCTGCTTTAGGCTGACTGATTCTCTGGATTCTTTAAAATAGTTGCGTTTTGTATACATAAATGTTACTGCCCTCTGTTTCATTCCTCTCCGACTGAGCGGATGAACTCTTTTGCCAGTGACCTTTTTGCCTCAGTGCAGGGGTGACAAGGGGATCCCTTGCAGTCCCTCTAGCTCTGCCTCTGGTTTCTAGGAGTCAGACAACAGACTTTCTCACAGTCTCTCATGCTTCCCTTTGTCTCCTGCTAAATGTTAAGCAAACGCTCAACCCACACAGACTATTTCCTCATCCACAGGTGATGTAAGAGGTGGCTTAAGTATCAGTAAGTTAGAGTCACTTGAGCAGTAAGGGTGAGAAACTTCTGACCAGATGTTGGTGTCTGCCTCTGAGCTGGTGGCTACAGCCCCTTTTCAGTTACTGCAGAGAAAGGGGCGCTTTGAGGATGCAATTGATTTCATCCCAAAGTGAATATCTCAAACAGGTCAGAGGGAGATGTCAGAAACAACATGAGATTAATCCCACCCGGGCATCTGTAAGGGCAGGACTGTGAAAAGAGGCACAGTTAGGTGACGTTCCTCATCTCTTCCCAGAGTTGGCTCTCCTGCTGTCTGACAGCGCCACGCTGGTCAGCCAGGAGTCAGGCAAAGACAGCAGGGGCTGCTGGTAGCAGGAGCTCTCCTACGGCTCCAGTGGCAGAGACTGCGCATTGATGTTCATCTCAAGCCTATCCAGGACTTCTGGAGGGTGTTGGTAATGAAAGTTTACTTTCTGGGGCGTAATTTCTGTCCCCTACTCACAGCTATGCACTAGTGCATGAATAAGCAACCGCATGCTTTCTTAGGAGTTTTGCTTGCACCTGTACTACTATTATTTATCATGGACTTTTGTGTTCTCCCTTCTCTGTGCAGAAGTGATTGCTGAGACAGCTTTGTACAAATGTGTCCTGAAACCTTTAAAAGAAGCCATTGATTCTTACTTAAAAGAAATCCACAACAAAGATGGATCGTTACAGCAGCTAAAAGAGAACCAGCTTGTGATACAAAACACAACTACCACTGACCTAGGCGTCACGACCAGCGTGCCTGAAACCGTAGTGCTGGAAAAGATCCTTCACAAGTTCACAACCATGCACAAGGCCTACTCCCCAGAAAAGAAGATTGCCATCTTGCTGAAGTCCTGCAAACTCATCTATGACTCCATGGCTCAGGGAAACCCAGGTACAGCACTCCTACTGAAATGGTATCCCTCACTGGTCCTTCTCCATGTATCAAAGGAACAGGGTTTATGATACAGTTGATGTGATAACATTCAGATTGGAGGTAACAGTGATTGTCAGTGTGTTTGGTATCAGCTGTCCACAGGTTGTGTTCAGAATGGGCTGGTTAGTGACTGTGAAGTTCTCTGCACTAATAACAGGTATAAGATGTTACCTGGTTAACTTCAAGCTCCATAACTCCAAAAAACAGATGTCTGTAAGTGTGGGTTTTGGGTAATGTCCTTTTTCCACAGGTCTTCACACAGCTCTCCATAAATCCTCAGAGCTCTGTCCCAGCTTGTAGCAGCTTAATGGTAAATTCTAGGAATGAGTTTTTGGGAAAAGTCTCTTGACTTGGCCTTTAAAAAGTTTTGCCTAAATTGAGGAGGAGATGCAGAATGCTGGTACTGTTTATTACTAATTCCTAATGCTCCAGTAAATTCCAAAAGCCACTACTACGCTTCTTCGGTGTAAGGAAGTATGTGCTCTGAGTATAAAAATAACTTGAGCCTCAGGCCAACCACTAAATGCACACGTTAAGCCCTTGGCCTGCAGACAGGATGCATTTTTGCAGATAGACCAGGAAGCCCCTTCCTCCAAGAATTTGCCTTGCCAGTTTAAGAGCTTTCTTTGTATACTGGTGAGCTGATGACCAGCCATGCATAAATTCGGAGAGAAGCCAGATATTAATTTGCAACAACCTGCAGTTGTTCAAGAACTCACAATCTCCAAAGGTGCTTTTAGCAGTTCTGCTTTATTTTGTACTGACAACAACCTTGGGGCACTCATACAGGAATTGTGTCCCTTCTGAGCCTCACCTCAGGGTCATCCCTTGGGCAGTATGCAGCAAGGTTCAATGACCAATCTAGACACATTAACAGCAGAGCAAGCAGCCACCGCAGGGCTGAGCCTAAACTGCAGGGTGGATAGGACTTCTGACTGTCTTCAAGTATTATGAGAAGATTTGGACACATGTAGGGGAATTTGCTGTAACTTTGTTAAAACAGTTGTGTTAAGTTTGAGAGTAAATTTGGTATAGATCAAAGACTCACATGCCTCATTAAAACTCACATAGGAGACACAGTCTCCTTCCAATGCTGGTGGTACGTTACATATCTGTCACACCTCAGTTAGCTCAGGGCTGGAACTTCTCTGTTGCAGGAAATGCCATTGTGTCATTTTATGTAACAGAAATTAGGGGTCAGGGAAAGAATTCAAAAAACCCTATATGTTTTAAAAGATTGGCATTCATAAAATCAGAGGATTTCATTGTGGCTTGCTATGCTAACAAAGCGCTTCATTTCGGCCAGCTCAGCTTTTTTCTCATGTTGAGTACTACTGCAAGTGGGGTGTAGGTCGGAAGCTGACTTCACCCCTGTGCGCCTAGTTCCCTCTCCAGTGTATATGATCAGCGATGCACATCAGGGCCTGGTCAGAAGAAAACTGGCCTGACATTAAGGAAATGTACCCCGATGAATTCAGACCAGAAAAAGAGGTTAAGGGGGGGAGAATGCTATAGTCTAACTCCCGGAAGACAGTGGACTCGGAGAGAAATTGAGTGAAACGTCCTGTAGACCCACTTAGAAGTGAAATGTGTGAAACCTCTTCAACAGAATGAACTGACCCCAGATCACTTCAATTTTCCACCTGGCAAAGACAAGCATTCAGCAAACTGAAATATTTTTCTGACAGGGAGTTCCCAGCTGGTGGTGTGCAGAAGCGCATGCTGTGGGCTGCTCAGACCAGATTTCAGCGGGTAGGAATTCTCCTCCTGCTGTCTGCCCATCTTGAGAGCAGCAGCCCAGGGCCCCTTTTCCTTTCAGCCAGCCCTGAGGCAGCGCAGTGCTCTTTGCACAGGAAGAGCAGTGGCCATGCTCGGCTTCCTGTGCAATAGTCTGTTCTTCTTTTAGCTCCTTTTACTCACCGCTGAATTAGAAAGTTCCTTCCTCTTCCAAGATCAGAGCAGGTGGAACACAAAACTAATCCCTCTGCCACAGGACCAAAATCAGTCTACCTGTGTCAGAAAAATTACCTGTTCGGTAACATGATAACTGCATATGTTGTCTGGTTTAATTTGCAATTTGGCAGCTCAGGCCAGGTCTTTATTCACTTTAGGTTGACCGTAGGACAAGCTGATCTGAGAATATGGTTTCATATCTCAAAGCAAAGTGCAAATACCACCAAATCAAGCACCCTTTTTTTTCAGACCCGTATGAAAACACTAGTTTTTTAACATTTTGAGACCCATGTACAGCAGTCCAGGTTTGGCCTGGGTGTCCCAACAGGTACCAAGTTTTCTTTAAAACTAGGGATAGGCTTACTCAGGAACATCTGTGCCTGTGGTAGTGCCCATTTTTGCACTGCTGAAAGAGTCATGAAACTTTGAAGTCAGCCTTGACTGAGTCCATGTATTTTCCAAGTTCTTTGCAAACTTAAATAACAGCAACATATGTCTCCAAGAATGTAAACTACAATCTAAAAATATGTAACCTGCCTGCTAAAAATACTAGGAGTCGTTAGTAAGAATAATAGGCATTAAAAGAATAGAAAAAGAGGAGTTTGGAAACCCACCCCACCCCCCACAAATTAGCTGGCATTTCTTTGTGGCATTTTTTTATCTGTGCACGAGAAAAAGAAAGAGGTAGGACTCAGGGGGAGCTGTAAGCTCCCAACTCTCTGACTGCTCCTACATTTGGAAAGTATGCCCCAATACCCACAGGGAGAGTTGGGAGCATAGCTGATTTATATAGAAGCACTGTAATCTTATGTAGAAAAAACCTGCTTATTATTTATCTTTCAGAAATACCTTTACTCAGACAAAATGTCAAAGGTATATTGTGTGGTAGGAGTAGAACGAGAATATCTGCTTTTTGCTCTATCAAAAACACAAGTCACGCTTGTGGAGTGATAAACAAGATGCAAATCTGCAATACGTGTGGTGTGTACTGGCAGTGGTGAGCCTGGAGCACCCAGCTTTGTGCTCCCTGGGAGCTGCCACTCTGTGGAAGAGAACTGATGGAAAAGCAAAAGAAGAGGAGCAGTAGGCATTGGTTTATGAAGAAATACTGTGTGAGACAAACAGGCCAAACTTGGTCAGTCCATGAGCAGGGAAGATCAGGCATGGAAAGGCTCTAAGCTTAAGTTGGAAGTTTGAAAGATGGAGAGACTGCTTTCTAAGGAGATTCAAGAAGAATGAACAGAGGAACAATTTTCTTACTGCAACATTTTTAACTTGTGGACTACCTAAGGTTATGAAACTTCATTTTTGGAGTATCTAACTGCACAGGGAGCTGGATTATATAGCTCAAAACCAGTTTTGCACTAGTGATTGAGTTGGCTAGGTGACTGGCCCTAAAACATCTGATTTGAAAATTTCTATTGCATAGTTTTGCATGGCTAATGCATAGTCTGCTTTTGGAAAAAGAGGATAGATAGGACATATATTCCATTGGAATATTTCTCTTCCTTAGCTTTTAGGATTAAGTTTGTCATCCCCTATAGAATTGAGCAGCCGGATATTAGTTGCCCTGATGTCCTCCTATATGGCTCTGCAGTTGACAAAGGCATGGACAGGAAGCAGTGTGTCTTCAGTGGGATAGCTGAGCTTGTGAAAAGGAAACTGGCCTCAAATACTTCAGTAGCCAGTGTAGAACCGATGCTAGAAGCTCCTAAAACTAAGTCAGAGCAATCCCACCACACTGCTCATTATCACATTTCACTTCTGAGAAGGAAAATAAAGCTATTCATAACAGTTTGTTGTGGTTTAACCTCAGTCTACAACTGAGCACCACACAGCCGCTCGCTCACTCCTTCCCCCCGCCCCTCCCGGTGGGATGGGGGAGAGAATTGGAAGAGTAGAAGTGAGAAAAACTTGTGGGTTGAGATAAAAACAGTTTAATAATTGAAATAAAATAATAATAGCAATAATAATAATAATGTAATA